GGAGCAGAGACTGAAGGAAAGGCCACTCAGAGATTGCCACACCTGGGGATCCATCCCATATACAGTCACCAAACCCAGACACTATTGTAGATGCCAAGAAGTACATGCTGACAGGAGCCTGATATAGCTGTCTTCTGAGAGCCTCTGCCAGAGCCTGACAAATACAGAAGCAGATGTTCGCAGCCAACCACTGGACTGAGCACAGAGTCACCAACGGAGGAATTAGAGAAAGGACTGAAGGAGCTGATGGGGTTTGCAAATCCCATAGGAAGAACAATAATAACAACCAACCAGACATCTCCCCCCCCCCATCCCCGCCAGAGATCCGAGAGACTAAACCACCAACCAAAAAGTACAGGGATCCATGGCTCCAGCCACATATATAGCAGAGGATGGCCTTGTCAGACATTGATGAGAGGAGAGGCCCTTCGGTCTGTGAAGGTTCAATACCCCAATGTAGGGGAATGCCAAGATGGGGAGGTGAAAGTGGGTGGGTGGGGAAACACTCTCATAGAAGCAGGGGGATGAGGGATAGGATAGGGTGTCTTGGGGGTGAGGGACTGGAAAAGGGGATAACATTTGAAATGTAAATAAAGAAAATATCCAATAAAAAAAATTTCTAACATAAAAAAAGGATTTCCCTAGTAAGTAATTGCATAAGAGACAAATATAGAATCTGTATTCACTGCCTTAGCAGAGTTAGCGAAGGCTTTACTTGATCATTTACTTGATCATTTGCCAACATCCTAGTATAGCTAAGGGACTAGGTTTCATTACTCCCCTCTGTAGACAGCTTCTCTTTCTTACTTGTTAAGTCACATAGATCAACACCTTTTGGTACCTTTCAAAGGCAGGCCTGGAGGAAATGTAACTCTATTTAATTTAGGACAGTGTGATGGTAGTATTGAACGAGAACTTGACACAGCTTGGATCACCTGGAAATAGTCTCAAGGAATTATGCAGATGAGGTTAGGCTGAGAGTATATGCAGATGAGGTTAGGCTGAGAGCATATGCAGATGAGGTTAGGCTGAGAGCATATGCAGATGAGGTTAGGCTGAGAGCCTGTCAGTGGGGAATTTGACCCTGTGGGCAGCACACTCCCTAAGCATGGCCATCAACTGTGTGACAGTGAAGAAAGCTTAGAAAGCAGCTAGCAAGCAAGTAGGCAGAATGAGTTCCTTCATTCCTCTGTTCTTGACTCTGGGTGTGATGTGACCAGCTGCATGCATTTCTGCCTTGATTCCCCCTCGGTGGTGGACTGTAACTTGGAACTGTAAACTAAAACAAAACCTTTCAGGATATTTTATTACAGTAACCGAAATGAAACTTGAACAAGTATTACAACTCTATAAAACACATTGATTTTTCTAATTATTTCAAATGACACTCACCTAAAAGACTGGTACTTACTCTACAGAATTAACATGTTTCACTGAGGGGACAGGGAGATAGGTAATGTGCGTGCCATGCAAGAGTGTAGACCTAAGAGTTCAGCAAGCCAGCACCTAGGTGAACACCCAGATGATGTGGCACCTGCCTGGAATCCAGGAACTTGGGACGAGAACCCTGGAGCGGGCCGAGACTAACCCGATCAGCAAGCTCTGGTTCCAAGCAAGAGATCCCGCCTCAATAGCCAAGATGAAGGACGATCCGGAAAATTGCCCTCTGTGACCTCAGGCCTCTATATGCAGTGTGCACACATCCATGGTACAGACACAACTGCTCCCATGTATTTTAAATCACACACACACACACACACACACACACACACACACATGCAGACAGAGCAAAAAGTTTCACTAAAAGTTCCAAATTATACTCCATTAAACTAGTACTTTACAAATTTTGAGTGCATAGACCCATATGTTTCATATGTCATCGATTAAACAATTTCACTGTTGCTAACACAACCTCCATTTGAGTAACTCCACAGATGGGCTGTGAGGGCTCACATTCGAAAGGCTCAATCGCCATGAAAGGCTACGGAAGGTGATAGGAACAGCAAAAACCTGATAAGGATTTTACAGTTCTGGTTTCTTTGGAATTCTTAAACCTCTCTGCAAACTTCAATTTCTAGTTTAAAAAAAATGGGAATTTAGACAAGTATAAATTAATATATCATATTTTTTGTTTTATCACAACTGCCCAGCTGCTACTGTCATATATACTGAAAAGTTACTTAAGTCTATGTTTACAAATCAATTATTGCTTGACAAAGTCTGTGTTATAAACGTCATTACTCGAGAAAGTAGAAAAGCACCGTATTGTGTTAATTGCCCATACTAATTATTTTAACCAAATGAATCTGCAATGAGCTCTCTATAAAATATACATGCAATGAGCTCTCTATAAAATATACATGTTCCAACAGAAAATGAGCAATTAACTGGGAATTAAGCTTTAAATTAAAAAGGCAAATGTGTCTTATTATGTACTACCTAATTTAACAGTCAGTATAATGACTTATCTGAGTGTCAGTTTTAAATTTCCTTATTTAGCTATTATATGAAATTTATAAAAACATTTCCATAAATGTACAGTATATATGCACATATATATACTGTTTTAAGCTTAACATGTCAGTTCTCATAAACTGTTATCCATCTCCAATGTTCCAAGAGAAAGACATAAATTCCAACGTACAGTAACATCTGAGGGACAGGATTCAAGGACTGTCCTTGCACACAAAACCCACAGATGCTTAAGATTTATATAAATGGTATACTGTCTCTATATGACCTGTGTGCATTCTCTCCCCTGCACTTTGAATCATCTCTAGATATTTACAATACCCACTGTAACATGGGAGCTGCGTAAGTACTTCTCATCCTACTGTACTGTTTAGGAAACAATGAAAGAAGTTTTAGACATGTTCAGAACTGGTGCTTTTGGGGTTTTTTTGTTTGGTTGGGGTTTTTTTGAGACAGGTTTCACAAAGACCAGACTGGGAAACTCCTAAATACAGAGAGCTGACTGTATAAAGGAGGACCTTGAAGAACATTAAAACTAAGAAGTAAATAGAATAATAAGTTATTTCTTCTAGAATACACTAGCTTCTAAGAAAATTAACCTGTAGCCTCAGATTATATTTCATTACCTATACTCAAACAGGATCTGATAGCATATAAGAAAAGAAATCTTCCTTAACATAAAAATTCCTTCGATTGTAATATGCCATTAAATAAACAAAGTTTATTTAATATCAAAGATGAGTATATTCGGAACTGACCTACAGCCTAAAGTATTTTATTATATTTATTGTATTTCATAACTCTTATAGAATAAGTGCTAGCTAACTGCCAAATGAATAAAGTGCTTATGGAGTCTACTCTAAAGACTATAGATATAGTCAGATTTCTCTATCATACTTAAAGGACAACTTTATTCTGGTCAATTCCACAAAAGCTGTAGCTGCAATGAGAAGTACTGTGTCCATTCTTGGAACTCCTTCTCACATGTAAATAGGTAAGACAGTATCCAAATTAGAATGTCTCCAACTACAGATAAGTGCCTAGAAGAAAATACTGTTCATGACAAGAATCAGCTTCAATTCCTATACTGCTGGCAGGAGTGTTTGGCGATTTCTTGTGCACACATGTGTGCATGTGTATGTATATGTGTTGTGTGTGCACACATGTAAGGAGGCTAGAAGCTGTTGTCAGGTGTCTTCCCTGTCACTCTCTATCTACTTAAACAATGATTTTAGCAGTTAACACTGTCAGAAGTTAAAGAAAGACTCCATACACAGGGGACTGAGTAATTAGCAAACTTGTAGTGTATTCACAGAATGGAATAATATTCAGCAATAAAACAGAAAAAAAGAAAATGAAGCATGAACACAAAAACATGATGCTGAGCAAAGGAGGCCATGTATAAAACAGTGTTATACTATATAAAAACTGTATAGAATACTATTAAAGCTATACAGTGCTATACAAAAATACTATTGTAACATTTTTGCATGAAATTCAAAAATAGGTAAAATTAGTCTTTATTGACAGAAAAATCAAAATAGTGCTGGCCTCTGAGGGTTGGAAACTGCCTGGAAAAGACAGAAAATTTATGCTGATGGCAATCTACACTTTGACAGTACTATTTATACAAATATCAGTATATACGTCATATTTATTCTATATACAAACTGTGGTGGTTTGAATAAGAATGGCCCCACAGGCTTATATATTTGAATGCTTAGTCATCAGGGAGCAGCTCAAGGTGAGATTGGGAAGCCTGGCCTTGTTGGAGGAAGTGCATCAATGGGGGACAGGGGTGCTTTAAGGTTTCAAAAGTCCAAGCCCAGCCCAGCGTCTCTCAGCTCCTCCTCTAGCACTATGTCCCTGCCAACAGGCTCCTGGCCATGACGGATAGTAGACTGAACCTCTGAAACTGCAAGCATGCCCCAACTTAAATGCTTTCTGTCATAAAGTTGCCATGGTCATGGTGTCTTGAATGACTAAGGTTTGATTAACTTTGAACACTTAAGTTTTAGCTTAATAAAAATGAAACTGGAGGCCAGATATAATGGCACACGCTTGTAATCCTAGCCCATGGGAGGCACAAAAGGGAAGATCACAAATTCTAAGTCAGCCTAAAATACAAAATGAGACGAGGTCTCAAAAACAAACACAACCACCTTGAAATGGTAAGTTTTTAAAATTTTAAAATTTCAATTATTATCTAACAAAGTTTTCTTAATATCAGTCTACATGAAAAAACTAACCTCTAATAAACACGCATGCAGCTATATGCTGACAAAAATAAAATTATCTACAGAACAAGATGTTTAAAATTCTGTTCTAGTCTCCATGTACAAAATTATCAGTACAGAGAGAAACAAATCAAAATCTTGAAAAAAAGGGAACTCCTCCTCTCCTGCAGTCCAGCACTGAACTCAGACAGCTGGCCACTCCTTAAGAATGCTGAGCGCCTCCTCTTAGAATTTGAACAAATGAATCCTGGGGACAAATTTGTAAGTGGTGACTGTTCAGAGCAGACTAACCTTGGAAGACTTCCTTCGGCTTCTTCTTGTCCAAACCACCACCAGTTTGTCTGGTTGCCTGTCAAATTAAAAAACAAAGAAAGAAAGAAATTAAATATAATTTATCTTAAACCAAATTATTAAAGTTTAGTTTTAGTACCTTTAAAAGACAAAAGTGGCCTGGGGGTGGCTTCACAAGTGGAAGGCTTTCCACACAAGCACAAGAACCTGACTTCCCATCCCTAACACTGAGATAAAACCTGGACGTGGCAGTGTGTCCTATAACCCCAGCTAAGGGCAGAGACAAGAGGATCCCAGGAGCTATCAGCCAGCCTAGTCAAAATGATGTCTGCAGGTTTTGTGAGAAGCCTGTGTAAAACTAAGATGAACAGTGATAGAGACATCAGAAACTGACCTCTGCTTCCACACGAGCACACAAGTGAGAAGCACATAAGCCATGCACACACCCCACAGGCAGACACACAAAAGTGTCTAACTTCAGGGTTCACAAAGCAGTTAAGCTTCAGTTCTACTCCTAAACACAGGAGATGCTAAATTCAGATATGATCTCATTGAAATAACTAGCATTTCCTCTAGAGACTTTTCTTTAAAAGTATTCCAATTCAATTTGTGTGATAAACCAAGTGAAATGCAATAGTTAGAACTTACCATAACTTAAAAAGCCCACATCTGTGCTGTCCCACAATGCCTCACTTCTCATGAGTTATCCCTTTTAACTTAGAGAGAAGCATTCGAAAGGCATTGTGGGTGACACGACTCTGCATTTTCCAAACAATGTGTACAACGTATAGCTCAAACGCTCTTATAACCACCTAATCACCCACACAGTACAAAACAATACCTGTATCTTACAATCTTATTTAAAAAACAAAACTGCCAAAGATGAATAACTGAGCAAAACTCTGACAGAGCCCCAGCCTGTAACTGAGACCTTTCCAAGGCCTGTTCACAGAGCCTTCTTCCTTATTGTCTGCTAATGGAAAATCAAATAAAATAATACACCTTTAGCTATTGCAACAAGGTTTGCCTTCACGTTCCTGGAAAACAAGAAGAAGATGATTATCAGCTATCTTACTTATAGTTTCATTTTTTTAAAAGCTTAGTTATAATGCTTCCCACTCTAGGCTTGGTGACACAGCCTACAATGCTAGGTACTCCCTGAGACTGCGATACAGGTACAGGATCAGAAGATCAAACCCAGCCCTGACCAGAGGGACTCCAGCTCAAAAGAAAAAGTGAAAAGAGCCTAGAGCATTTGCCTAGCATGTGTGAAGACCTGGAAAATCCTTGTTACTGGAAAAGAAAGCTATGTACTTATGTCTCAAAGAATAAACAGGATAAATAAAAATAAACCTGCAACTACATACAACTAAACTGCAGAGGGCAGAAATATAGAAAAACCATACAAGAATAAAGAGAGAAAACAAAGTCACTGACAAACCAGTAATTAAACTAGCAGAAGTAATTAAACTTCTCATCAGCAACAACAGTCCCAGACAATGGAGTCCAGATCCACAAGTGCATGAGGAAGGCAGCTGCTCCGCTAGAGTTTATGTCCAGCCAAACCAGCACTACGGCTCCATTTCAGACCAGCAGGAGAGGGCAGCTGCTGCCAAGCCTGACCACCTGTGCTCAATATCCACTCCACACAAGAGAAGCAGAGAACTGACACAAGTGCACACAAAATACACACACACACACAAATGTGTAAACGCTTACATATACACAAAGATGTATTTACAATGTCAAGAGGCAAGATCTGCAGAAGCAAAAGAAGTACGATAAATGCTAATGGGTGTTCTTTCTGTAGGACAGAACCTAAATGTAATACACACACACACACAAACGTACAATAATGAAAATTGTTTGCATAAAGACATTCAAATATACGATGATTCTGACGATAATTCAATTGTGGAATGTTCCCAGAGTGAGGCCCTGAGAGCAGTGTCCAGATAGTGGAGATGACAATGTCTATCAAACAGCATTAATCTGAGTCTCAGCACCAACAGACAATAACCTGAAATTACAAACAAAAACAAAACATCCTCCTCTCCCTCCACTCTCCCCTCCTCTGTCCCCTGCTGCAGGATATTTGATCACACTGTGAACACTGAGATTGTGTTATGTGCTGAAAAAACCCGTTTCTGGTTGTAGTGTAGCTCAGCTCTTAGCACATGCCTTTAATCCCTCTGGCTGAAATACAGAAATGCCCTTAGTACACACCTTTAATCCCAAACGATAGAGGTAAAGTTAGTTTGTAGAAGGAAGCACCCATGTTTGAAAGTGATATCTAATTGAGTAACAGACAAGGCAATGAATCAGAGAAAGATTTGACAGAATAGGATATGCTCAGCTCCCAGGAGAAGAGAGAGAAAAGAGGCCACTTCAGAGAGAGCAGCACAGAGAAAGAGGCAGGGGGCAGTTTTACCAGGACAGCTGTGCAAAGACAGGTTGCAGAGAGAACAAGCTAGACACAGGTGAAGACAGAAGGAGCCAGAGAATGAGAAGGAGCCAGAAGATTGGAACAGATTGCCAAAGTTAGTTTGAGGCCAAGCAGAACAAAAAGTTAGAGGCTGAGAGAGAAGCCAGTTTGAATCAGTCAGCTTGGAGAAGAGTTTGAGACAGAACAGCTGAGTTCATTCAATCAGCCATCCAGAGATCAGAAAGAGCTAGAAAGAGTAATCTTATTCAGCATTAATCTCGGAGGCTGAAAACATTCTAGAAGCTTCCAGGATTAGGCCTCAAACAAAGAGGCAATAAGCCTCGGAGATGACAATTACATCAGGTAAGTGAAAGCTGAACTTTTATAGTTCCCCTCTCTCCTCCTCCCTTCTTTCATCCCTCTCTCCCCTTCTCTCTTTTCTCTCTCCCTCCTCTCCCTGTCCTCTGTTCTATATCCCCTGAGCAGCTGCAGTTTTAAGATGACCCACTGAGACCCTATAAACACGTCTGTCCCTGTGGCCTCTAGTAATGCAAGACAGAACTCAGTCTTCAATTAATAAAGCAACCTGCCATTAAAGTCTGACTTGGCTTCTAGCATAACTCTATGTACCTCAAAAGCATCTTCTTTCCAGCCACACCTTCTTAACATCTTCAGATGTCATTGGGGAAGCCCTGCCTCTATCTCTTCCTTTCCTACCTGATATACTCTTATTTTGTGGCCTTTTTTTGTGGATTTTTGACCATTTTTTATTTCACCTTAACACCTACACACACACACACACACAAAACCATACACACCCCAAACCTCAGGCAGAGTTCATGTCCCTACTATGTTACCAGTAAATACCCAAGCCAAGCCTCTGTTTACATACTCTGTGTGTGATATAATAGCATTACTTCTATCTATCCTACCAGACCACACTGGCTGATCAACTTTATCTCTGTTACTAGCAACTAATAAAAATCTAGCACAAGGATAAGGCCCAATGAACGTTCATTACGGAAAAGAATAAGCCTAAGTTGTATCCAAGAATATCCAAATGGTTAATTATAATGTATGAGATCTACCCAAAGTCAGCAGCCATATAACGTGCCTTCTCTGCAGTTGATGTGAGCTTCACAGGATGCTTACCTCGGCTCCTCATGAAAACCTGCAAGGAGACCTTTTAAAAATACTAATGCTTCCCTTACAGCCTGGGAGAATCTGATTTAATGGATCTAGTGTGTAGAATTTTTTAAGTTCCACAGGTGGCTGCAACAGAGACAGCAAAGACCCACCAGCTAACAGGGATCATGGTAAACAATCCCCACATTTCATGGTTTAAACCACCAGCAACTGTGACAAGAGGATCTCTCCACCAGCTACAACGGCCTGCACTGCTGTTTGAATTGTCCTTTCTTTCTCCTAGCTGGACTCTGACAACCCTCCCACCCTTCACCCATTTTACTGCTTCAGGGAAGTGAAGATTGTTAACACGGAAAAGCAGGAAGGGCAGTCCTCTAACCTGTATGCCCGTTATAAGGATGTAAACAGAATAGAAGTGACGTACTTGAAAATGCCTCCAGAGACAGTTAAACGTTTTTCTGATTCCAATCCTATGAACAATGTAGATGTCTTCATTAAGTTAGTGGGAGAGTGCTTACCTAGCATGTATGTGCGAGGCCCTATGTATGATCCCTAGCACCATGTGATAGACACATACTAAAAACATGTCTAGTAGAGATGTGTCTAGTTTTACATTATCAAAAGAAATGTTCAAAAGTAAGCGATTCTCAATAAGACATGTACCAACAACACAACTGCCTGACTGCAATTAATATTTTAAGTATTCATACTGTGCTAAAAAAGAACCATTAAATATTTACTAGTGAACTTACAAGAGAAAAGGAACACACTATTGTTAGAGTTTTCCACAGCTATCAGAGGACCTGGCCTGTAATTAAAGAATTTTCTAGCAATAAAGTCAAGAAAATCTGGTAGAGCTCTGGTTTCAGGGAGACTTCAACCACCATATTTAGCTAAGTAGTAACAGACTTGTCTGTCTTATTAGAAAGACACAGAGGAGGGGAGAGGAGAGACACCTTACAAGTATTTAAATATGGACCTTTTGAGACACATGCATAAAATGTATACAGTCATACTTCCAACTAAAGCTGTCTAAGGGGTTTCCCTGGTAACCTGAAACCTTGTGATGGGTTTGTTGGAGCAAATCAGCTTCTGAGGCTAGACTAGACAGGAAGTTCTAACCCAGCCTGGGCTACAGAGTAACATCTTATATCAAAACATAAAAACAAGAAAATAAGTATCACCTTCTCCTTTACTCTCAGAGACCATAAAAATAAACCACCTGAATGTGAGGGGAGAAGTGCTGTAGCGCCATGGTTCTGACCCTGGATTCCAGAGAGAAGGGGAGGTTCAGGGAGAAATGCAGGACAGTATAGAGACGAGTGGCAAAGTCCAGACTGCAGATCAGGCTGCTCTAACTTCTTAAACCTGCAACTACACTTCTGCCCTCTCTTTCCCACTGCTGGGTGGGAAGGTAAGTGTAAAGAAAGACATCTCTCTCTCTCTTTTTTTTTTAAAGCTTTATTTATTTATTTCATGTATGTGGG